ATTACTTTCTGAAAACTCGCTACTTGATGTTGAATTTGTATATAATGTACACATACAAGTTTTTGTCTGTTCTTTAAAATGATCTTCCTCAACTCACAATTATAAAAAAATCACCTTGTGTTACACGTTTATATTTATATAGTGTTTAAAGTTTGGATTTTGAATATATCTGAAATGTATTTTTATGTATAATATGAAAATATGTGGTTTTTTTTTAACTCTTCCAAGGGATTCTTATTCCCATTCAAGTGTACCAGTCACTGTCATAGATTGCAATGCAGCCCAAATGCCTGGGATTGAAGCCTGGCAAGTCTTTTTTACTCCACTGTGCATCTTAAATGTGAGAAAACGTACCTGTCTTATAGGGTTTTGGAGAATACTGAATGAGATAAGACATATAAAGAGCCTAGAGAGCCAGATCCCTTAGCTCAGGAAACCATGATCACTGCATTCCAGTCTGGGTGACAGAGCGAGACCTTGTCTCAAAAAAAAATTTTTTTTTAAAGTCAATTAAATTAAAAAGAGTCTAGCATAGTGTATCCCATGGAGATACCAATACATAGCAGCTTTTTACCATTAGCATTATTATTTTAGCATAGCTCAAACATCTTGTTTTTTTGTATCCAATTCAAAGTGTATGCTGGGATGAAAAGGCGAAGCCCTATCTCTAAAAAAAAAAAAAAAATACAAAAATTAGCCTGGCACAGTAGTGCACACCTGTAGTCCCAGATACTCGAGAGGCTGAGGTGGGAGGATGGCTTGAGCCTGGGAGGTCAAGGCTGCAGTGAACTCAGATCTCACCAACTGCACAGCCTTCACAACAGAGTGAGATGCTGTCTCAGAAAGAAAAGAAAAAAATAAAACCCAACTTCTCTTAAAATTCAAGGGCAGAGTCTTCATGTAGATTTTCCTGAGAGGTTTTGTTTTAGTTTGTTTTGGTTTTTGTTTTGTTTTGTTTTTTGTTTTGAGGCAGGGTCTCACTTTGTTGCCCATGCTGGCGTACAGTGGCACATTCATAGCTCACTGTAGCCTCAACCTCCCAGGCTCAAGCTATCCCCCAACCTCAGCCTCCTAAGGAGCTGGCAGTATAGTAATATGTCACCACACCCAGCTTTTTTTTTTTTTTTTTTTTTAATAGAGATGGCTTCTCCTTATGTTGCTCAGGCTGGTCTTGAACTCCTGGGTGCACATGATTCTCCTGCCTCAGACTCTCAAGGTGTTGTATGGGCCTGGGCCATGGTGCCTGACCCTGGGAGTCTTAAAAGTGTTGGCTGATAAAAGTCAACCTCAGTACATACAGCCTTTTGGGTGTTACTGCCAATGTTACGCTTAATCAAAGAATGTGTTTGGCTCTTGACTACACATTTTGAAACGCTTGTGGATAACCTCTGTCCGACATCCCAGGTCTGAATATCCAGTGGTCCAATAATATGCTTGGTCCTCCCAGGCTAGGAAGCCACTGTCTCTTGGGGACAAAGTGAGGGCCTGGTGACTAGCACCTCTGCAAGATCACAGGGCACATGCTAGGTCTGTTCATTCATGCTGCACAGGTTGAGATTCTCCAGAGAAGAAAAACTTGGGTTCTTAGTGACCCACAAAGTATCAGAAGACCCCAGCTACTCACTCCTCTCTGTTTTTCTAATGCTGCTTATCAACCAAAGGTCTTTCTTTTGCTTTGGCAAGGACAAGAGATGGCAATAAAGCCTGTTTGTGCTTTATCTACACTTTTTGAGTCCATCCAAGCCTCTATCAAAGTCCACTTAAAATAACTCTAAGAAAGAATCTGCTGCTAGCTCCCCCTCTAAAAGCAGGAAATAAGTTTGTAATCAAATGAAATTCAGAAAAGGTATTACATTTTGTCCAGCAGCAGTATACAACATAGAATTCTATAAGTGTCTGTGGTTATTACAGTTATTGGATAAATACTATTTACGGATCACTTACTGTGATCCAGGGAACATGCTAAACACTTTACATGTATTATCTCAATTAATTCTCCCAGCAACCATTCAAAAAGGTTCTTTTTATTATCCACAGAATACAGAGAAATAGTAGGCAAATGTGGCTGAGTAACTTGCTAAGGTCAGGGAACACGGCAGAGCTGACTTGAATTTAAAAGAAAAAAAAATCAAGCAAAATTTGTTTTCTTAAATAAGCTTTCTATCTTTTTCCCCAAACCTTACTTCTTAAAACAACAAAATACATCCACTTAGAATCTTTGTAATAAATTACTTTCAGTCCAATATTAATAAAAATGCAGAAGAGAAGGATAGTGGGAGGAATAAATCTCTAAATAAGCAAGCAAAAACAAATTTAAAAATTACAATTCTACTAACTATTTTGGAAAGTCCAGTTATTATGGTCTGAACTGTGTTCCCCTGAAATTCGTATGTTGAAGTCCTAACCCCCAATACCTCAGAATGTAATGGTATTTGGAGATAAGGGCTTTAAAGAGCTAATTAAGTTAAAATGGGGTCTTTAGGGTGGACCCTAATCCAACGTGACTGCTGTCCTTATAAGAAGAGGAAATTTGTGCATAAAGGGGAATGACCACGTGAGAAATAGAGCAAGAATGCGGTCATCTGCGGAGCAAGGAAAGAGGCCTCAGAAGAAACCAAGCATGCCAACACCTTGATCTTGGGGGGGCCAGAATGCGGGATTCACTGAGAGTTTCACTGTAACTCTTCTACACTGAAGTGTTATACACTGTAGAAGTACAGCTTCTACATTGGCTACTAGTAACTGGCAAGATTTTTCTTACATAAAAGTGGGAGTCCAAAGGGTACAAAGACAATCTTGGAAATGGAAAAAATAACTATTTTCACTTGAGTCTTATCCCTATTTTTAAAAACATGACCTTTGAAAAATTACCTGTACAGCGGTGGGTATCTTCTTGTTTTGTTTGTGTGCTCTTTCTCTCTCTCTCTCTCTCCCTCTCTCTCTCTCTCTCTTCCTCTAGCCCTTTCTTCTCCTGTTAACATTTTATTCAGCATCCTTACATGTGACAGGCTTCATTCTCTCCACAAGTGGACAGGTATGCTGATTAGGCGAAGAATGCATTCAGCTATAGAGGAATGCATTAACTAGAGACATGGAATGAGGTTCTAACCAACAAGCTCCTTAACATGCAATTCAGCTTCAGTATTGGTTAAGCCAAACAAGAAGCAAGAAATCAACTATTGCAGCCACTTGTGGCTTACCTACTCACATTATCTCATCACAACAATGGCTCCCTTTTTACCATCAGTCAATGGGCTAGAAGCAAAATCAAACAGTGGCCTGAGCTTGATCAGTCTCCTGATCAGAGCCATGCTCCCCTAGAAGCTGTGGGGTAACTGGCTTTATGCCAGAATCAGCTGTCCCTCATTTTGGCTCACTAATAAACTTTCCTTGTTTTTGTTTGGATCTTAATGACCTCAACCCTTCACAAGACGTTTGTCTCTTTATTTTTCTCCCCGACATAAACATAAAATAGCAGATAACCTAAAGAAATAAATATAATTCAGATGTAAAATAAAGTATACCTACTAGTGTGTATATGCATGAGTGAGTGTCTCATTGGAATGCACCAGATTGTACTAAATGACAGAAATTTCCCAAGGGAAGATAACCTCCAGATACTGCTACAAAGCTTTATTCCCCACACTCTGCAAATTATTTAATTTAAACACTGCTTGATATGACTCTCCTAGGAGAAGGGTGCTTTCCCAGATCCATTTTTAATTTGCTGGTGTGTATATGCATGTGGGCCTATAGAACTGGCCTCGCAAATGTTCACTTTGCTAAGAGAATCTGAGCAAAGGCTTCAGATTGCATAACCAGGCACTGCAAATTGCTGTCTAAAACTAGGAAAATGGTGAAACGCATATGAAATCCCTTCTTCTTTTTGGCAAGGAAAAAAAAACTATAAAGATTCAAGCATCCATCTGCCAGGGCCCCCATACCCAGATACTTTCCATTTCCTTGAGAAACAGGACTAAATTTTTTTAAATAGCATGTGTGTCTGTGCAGGTATGTGCTAGCATGTGCACCACTGTTCATTTTTCACAGAAGATAGTCACATTTATTGATGCATTTCACTAAAGCAAGAGAAGCAACACAAAGATTAAAGAATCATTTCTCATCAGCATTGGGAAGTGCTGTATCATGTGCCAGGGACATAATTTATAGTATTCTTTTAATCCTGCTTCTTCTACTTGCTTAACTTTTACTGCTTTTCTACAACATAATCAGAAAAGAATACCTGGTAAAACAAAACCTTGAGTGTCCTATTACGAATTTTGCCAAATTTCGCCACAAAAAATCTTGCCCTTTTAAAGAATGTGTGGGTTCCATTAAAGAATTCATGAATTTCTCTGCAGACAGAATTTCTTTACATATGGCTACACAGAAGGGCTAACCCCACCACACATGCAACCTTGAACACACAGGGCCTACCCTAGAGATTGTCTTGTTACCTCAGCTAAATCCATTTAAAAGCAGATAGGCAATAGACAATAATTTCAATATTGACTTACTCTTCTTGCTTCTTCATCAGAGCAAGCTAACAGGATGTGAACTCCTTTCACCCTTCACCTCGTCTTCCTCTAGTTCTCTCCCTATGTGGTATCCTCTGCACTGGTAAGGTGACTGCCTTCCTCCTGCCAGCCTAGTTATTTACTGACATGAGCTTGCATTCTGGGGCATTATCAGCTTAATGCATAATTCAAAATCTCTTGCAAGTGGCCTGTACTTTTGCCTTATCCCCTGCATCCTGAATGAAAGATAAGAGGAAGTATTTCCAAAGTGGGCACAGAGAATTCCTGAACATTAACATTGCACCCCCACCCCCAACTCCTCAGAAAACTGCATGCTGTGCAGCTCCCACACACCTTCACAAAGGCTGTATACTAAGGAGAAAACAGTCCAAGAGATGGTCAAAAGTTTATACCAAGTGGGCACCCAAGAAGCTTTCAGATAACGAGGTCTCTAAAGTTGAAAAGAAAAATCACAATTATTACCTTAAGCATCACATCCTAGCCTGGCAGTCAGATGTTTTCAGCAAATAGTTTCAAACATCTGTAAGTCAAAAAAAGAAAAATCAGCTTTAGTATTTTTTTCAATGGGCAGGGTAAGGTACATGTGTGTTGGATGGGCAGAGAGGAGAGTGAATAGGAATACGGGCCAATGAAAAAGGCTTCTTAACATGTTGAAGGAAAGAAGAATAATCCAATAAAGAGCCAAGAAGAGGATAAATGGGAGAGAAGGAGGGTGAAACGTCAGGATGTAGATGAACTGGGGGAGAGGAAGGGAAGAAAGAGGCATTGGAGAAGAGCAGACTACAAGATTAACTATATTAGAAGGTTAATTCAGTGAGAACCAATTCAGCAAAAATGGCTGGAATGATTTTTTTTCTCTACTTAATTGACTATCTTCTGATTGTGTTGATTAAATTAACTAGAGAAAATAAGTGGATAAGCCCACCTGCAAACACTCAGATTCAGGTAACCTGTATGCTCTGACTTGAACACATTAACAACTTGACTGACATGAACATGCCCACATGCATACGTATGCATGTGCATGTATGTGGCAATGTTGATTTTGTCAAGAATTAACATCACTGCCCCCCCAGAATTTTCACAAGCATGCTATATATATGCATATATACAATATATACTCTGAGCTTTGCTTTCTATGATCCAAAGATTATCTTTCTGGAAAGCAGTTTGTCCTCAATAGAGGAAGTACGCTGTATAAATGTACAAACATTTTTTGTCAGCATGGCTTTTAAAATTCCAGCTCACCTCCCCTTAATGTACTTCTGTGAAAGTCAGGACATGATATTAAAAATCAGAAGGTCACCAATATCATTTGGACTTATTACTAAATACGGGATTCTAGTAGATGCTTTTTACATGCATTTTTGAGTCTACCAAGCAACAATGCCTCCTTTCTTATAAACATAAAGACATGAATTATTAAAAAATTAAAGACATGTAGAATAATGGTCTTCCATAGGAAAAGTATTTATTTCAACTTCATCATTCATAGTTTATTGCATTGATTTTTTTTCATCAGTTTACTTAGTATTAGGCTTCCACTGAACTCATCAATAAGAAATGAATTTTGGTAACTTTCAAGTCCACTATATTATTTTTCCTTTTATTTGTAGTGAATTTTTCTTCTCTCAATGGTATTACTGCAATAAGTCAGTCATTATTTCTTTATGTTTTCCTTTCTTTCTTTAGTATTTCATTTCCCTTTACAGCACATCTTGTGATCACAAAGAAAACAGAGACACTTATTTCTTTTAACAGATGAAATTGCTGCAAGTGATTTAGCTGTCATTTAATTTGATTCCTCTCTTCTGTCTGTGGAGAAATATGTTTAATGTACTGGAAATTATGTTAATAAGAAAAAGCATTATCTCATTTAATGAAATAAATATACAAATATTTCAAAATAAAATAAAGAGGCAATCTTCACAGAGAAAAATGTCTCTTATGGTTTGTATAAAATAAACAAATGAGAAAAATTTTTGAATACATTGAGACACTGACAAAAATTACACCTACATTCGGGGCTTGGTGTGGCTGCAGCTTGGTAAATGAATTATCCACAACTTAATCAAATATTTCTTTGAAAAACATGAACATATATTAAAAATCAAATTATTAATTTTATATTTTCAATTATGTCAAGAAAGATCATTTTATTTTTCTGGAATATACGGTAGGTTTTTATAAAGTTTTCTTTGTGTTTTTTCTCTTCTACTTCAATGATTGCTATTGCTCGAATTAATAATTATAAGCAATCTCACTGAAAACATGACCAACTCATGTAACTATAAAAAAGGTTAGAATTCCTTTGATTTTGCTAATCAAAACAGAGTCAATGAACTCGTTCCAAAGCTTTTATATATTAAAATTTATCTAATGCACAAAAAGGTTAAATAAATATTGTTAGTGATTTGAGATAAACTTGAAGCAATTATGTAATAAAAGCATGACCACAGTAACAGAAACACATAATTAGCAATTTAATTACTGGCATGAAGACAAGCTAAAGATGTCAATAAAAAAAAATCTTTTAGTGACAAGCTGATTTTTATTCTCTTTACTGCAATTTGAGAGTAATATGCATCACCTGATGAGCAAAACCATTTTTATAAAAACCAACTGACCCTCCACAAACTGAAATATCTAATTTAAAATATTTCTGATTTTATATCATTGCATAGTGAATCATTACATTTTCTCCTATTTAGATTAGCTCTTTCTCTTCTCTGAAAATACAATATTTCCAGTCAGCAAGTAAAGAACCTTTTTGCGTTTTAAAAATGAGTTAAAGTGGCAGGTGTTCTTTGTTTCAATTTCATTTTCCCCGGCTTCAATAATGTATTTGACAACAATGCTTTCCTGTATATGGTATTCCAAATATCCTATCTTTTACTAAATTTCAGCTGAGAAACACAACTAAACCATCAACTGTTTTAAGGGGAAATAAATGCTAACTATGTTAGATAACTATGTTAGATTCTCTAGGTTTTTCACAATTTATTTCCCTCTCCCATCTCTGTATTGAGGGTTATAGGTGGAAGGTAAAGGAGAAAAATAAGTAAGCTAAGTTTACCGTGAAATGGTCCGCTTGTATTTTTTTCATTACAATCCCAAGTTGCAGATTTTTAAACAGTCCTGAACTATTTATCTCAACATGTTCAATGTATTCTTACCACCTTATTTCTGGTATTTAACTGGTAATAGAAAGCAGATACCTCTAGATAGAATGATATTGAAGGAAGTTTTCCATCTTGTGATAAAAAGTGAATCATCTTGGCTGGTGTTCAATAGCCACTTGTATAAGCCCAATACACAGAGTAAAATCATGAAAGCCAGACTTGCTAAGAAGTTTGGTCTATAAATACCCTTGAGGCATGATGAAATACACTTCAAAGCATAAACCCCAGACACTAAGAACATAATAAATAACTCCTAATAGTACTGCCTTTATCATGAACCTACTGATTCTGATCACTTTGACATACAGTTCCCATCAGATATCCTACCCAAATATTTCATTCTTGAGAGAGGGTGTGTAACACAAACTCAAAAGGTCCAAATAAATTAAAAATACTTTTTAAAATATATTTTATTTGGCTGTAGATTGATAAATTTTTTAAAAAGCAAATAATTGGGAGATAACTTATTGGGAACTTCTTTGCTAATATGCTGGTAACTAAAATTATTTACTTCCCATATGTATTTCAATTAGAGGTCTCTCCTGTTAATAAAGACTTCCCTTTTCCAGTGAGGTTTTTGTTTTTTGTTTTGTTTTGTTTTGGGATGGAGTCTCTCTCTGTCACCAGGCTGGAGTGCAGTGGCCTGATCTCGACTCACTGCAACCTCCACCTCCCGGGTTCAAGCGATTCTCCTGCCTCAGCCTCCAGCGTAGCTGGGACTACAGGCTCAGGCCACAATGCCCAGCTAAGTTTTGAATTTTTAGTAGAGATGGGGTCTCACCATACTGGCCAAGATGATCGTGATCTCTTGACCTGGAGATCTACCCACCTCAGCCTCCCAAAGTGCTGAGATTACAGGCATGAGCCACTGCACTCAGGCCTCCAGTAAGCTTTTGATCACTGTTTATTGTATATCACCATCAGCTTCTACATATCTATTTTAACTGTAAAACTAAACTTACCTGGATTTCTCAACTATAATTATTTGGGCTTCAAACTCACCTTTGCATAGTTTTACAGTCCAGATACAAGAAATTGTCAAGAGCTTCGTTATTTACAAACAAGCATGTTAATTTATACAACCCCATGGAAGACTTTCTACATTAGCTATTATAGAGGCTGGTTACATAAGGATACCTGCCTTTGCAAAAAAGATGGTGTGCCCAGCGATGATGCCGCCTCCTCACCGAAGTGTAGTTATGGTAAATGTCAAAGGGTTGACATAATAAATACAAAAAAAGTTCCTTTGCAAGTGAGTACTTTGGGGAAAGTTTCATAAAGCTTTAAAATCCACCATCTCATTTGAACTTAGGAGCTAAACAGTCCCTTCTAGAGCAGATAAGAAAACTAAGATTGAAAGAGGCTAATTTACCCAAGTGCAAATGTATTTGAATGGGGACTACATCACAGTTTTGTTGACTCTAACTTCAAGACATGAAGAAGAAAGCATTTGAGAAGAAGGAAAGTAACTTAGGCAGCAACATGCATAGGGCTAAGGTGGATTGCTTACTTAGGGGGAACAGCAAAACAATGAAAAGAAAGATTGGAAACTAAAAAGATAAGAGCAATCGATATTCAGAAATGTGTTCTCTAGGCAGTGAGGAGTCATTGAGAGTTTCTGAATAGAATGGTGGTATAATGAACAGAGTGAAGCATGGATTAAAAAGGTGAGAGACAAAAGGCAAAAAGTGGGTGCTATTGGTGCTCCACTCAGACTCCTTTACCCAGGTATAGCCATCCCTCAGCTGCTGGGAGAGTTGGCAGCTAAAGGCTCCCACCTGCCCCCTTTTCTGCAGGATTGTCCTCAGCCTGGCAAGATCAACTTCATTGCAGAGGTTAAAACTCCACAACCCACACAAAAACTGCCTGACATGGAAGGGTGGGGCAAAAAAAGCCACTTTCTTTGATTTGAGGGACATCAATTTTGTGGGGTAAGCAATAAGCAGATGTTAGCTTTAAGGACATGCCATGCTCTGTTTCCCAACTCCCTTTCTCTTCAATGCATCCTTGTCTCGGGGACACCCACTTGAGAGAAAGCTATTAGTGCCTGTACTGTCTTCCTCTCCCTTGGGGAAAGAATAAATCATGATGTAAATAGTTGAGTAACAGCAAACTCGACTCACCCAAAGAATAATCAGTACACAGAAAATCAACCAGGTAATGCATGGAGGCCATTGAGATAGTGACCCGGCTTTCATTGTTCAAAGAACAAAATTTGTACCACATCACTGGGGGAAAGTTTATAATTCAACCACTCTAATCTGCACAGGAGATAGAGTGAAGCTTCCACTTCAGGTGGACATGATAAAAAGGAATACTCTCATGATAGTATAACTCA